CTGTTGAAAAAGTTCCTGCGAAAAAAATATCACTAAAACCCCCCTATGAGTTTAGTCAAAGGCATTTCCCCACCTAGCGCGAGTACGTGTTGCTCACTTGCGGACTGTGCGACTGAAAATGAAGTATTGTATACGAAAAGTCAGAATTACCCCTCTAAGATACATAATTACTCACCAATTTTGCTCTATCTCTTCTCTCTCTCCTCTCACTATCTTCTTGGATTTTTTTTGTCCTGAATAAATCTTCTATGTTCATCAATGGAGATTTCAAAAGACAAATGCTTCACATATGAGCAACAAATCAAATTAAGTTTTGATTTTCTTCACCTTCCGAACAAAGAAACAAGGGTTTCTGCAATTTCATATATAGCAATTGGGAAGAGAACGGGTAGTTTCGGCAAGAGGAGAATCAAGAAGAGCCTTCGCAGTTTTCCCGGCGGCGGTGAGTGAAGCAGATTCGATGCGTGTGTGCGATGTGTTTTCACCTGTGATATTTTTTTATCACAAGGACTTTTTCTACAGTTGGAAATTTCACAGGGGTACTTTTTGCAAAAAAAATATTATAATTATACCTCAACAATGTTAATATTAATACATTTTCCCCGAGCTCCTGCATTCCCATTTTTGAGATATGCAGTTTCCCTTTTAATTTTCCCGTATCATATCATTGTTACTGTGTGCATGCCACACATAACTTTTACATATTCTATCTTAAAGGCCATCTCCAACAGTTGTTTAAAAATCGGTTGTCTATATAGAGACGAACAGTGTTATACAACACCACTTTTAACATCACACTCCAACAACATTGTTTATATTTTACACAATTATTATATTTTATTATTTTACAAAAACTTTAGTTCTGAATTAATTTTAACAACTATAATTTTAATTTCACATACATACATATATCTTGTTTTAGTGTTTTACTTGGAAACTTTTTGGAATTAAAATATATTGCAAAGTATAATTTAATGTTATATATACATGTATTAAAAAAAACTAAACACTCTTTATTTTATTAATAAAAATAAATATTATATGCAAAATAATAATCATCTGCATAATTTTTATTATTTGTTGCATATGAGCAACAAATCAAATAGCACTGATGGGACTTTTATTATTGTTTATTTTTACACAATTTGTAAAATTGTAATTTTCGTTTATCTATGCAAAGTTAAAATGTAAAAAAATTTGCCTTTTCCCACTTCGTTGTTGGAGATGTGATTTTTGGTTTAAAATGTGTAAAAGATGTAAATTATAGATATACATCACCTTGTTGGAGATGCTCTATAATAAATACTGATTTGGGCTGATTTGCCCAAATACACGAAATACGATGAGGAGGTCCAAATGGATCTCATCAGATACTTAACAATTCTTACGTGAAGCTGATCATGTTTGAGAAATATGATTTTGTTTCATGCTATATATATCAGATGAATTACATTAAATATCGATAATCATACATTCACATGTAAAAATAATATACATATCGATATTTGTATGTAGATGCATGATATATTTATGCATTTATTTCATGTTATATAATCGGATGTACATCAAATAAATGTATATCACATAGACTTGTAATTTATAAACCACTTCATCTATTCTTGCATGAAATGATTGTCCAGGAAATTGATCGCACAACATTCTACGACGTAATCAATCTGCATTAAAAAATAATAGTGTATCATAAAATCACAATTTAAATTTATGAGGGATTAATAAAAAATAAAAATAAAAAATCGTAATGAAGGAATCCGTAGTCTGTTAATTTTAATTTATACGAAACAGTTAGTGATCTTTAAATAAATTTATGATTTATGAAAACGTATTTTGTGACCTACGTGTTTTTTCTTTTCTTTGTTTTTTATTCATAATAAAGTTGTCATTTTATTCATCAAATAGGTAAGAATTACATCAGAAAACAAAAAAAATAACAACTAAATTCTATCTTCCCTACTATAGTTTGAGATCTTCTTTTAAAATCTGAGTTATCGTTAGTTTGAGGGATATATGTGCTTTTATACACAAAAGGGGTATTTTTATAATTTAGATATACTTTAGGGGGTTATTTGCAAGTTAAAATTTCTTTTTTTTTCACCTCTCTTGGTTCTGTTAATTTTTTTGATGCATCCCTAGTTTGAGTGTGAGGGGGTCATATGTAATTTTGCCTAGTGGTCTGGTGGTAGCAGAAGCCTCTCTTTTAGTGGTGTTTAGTGAGTGGTCCGAGGTTCAGATCCTTTTATGTACATGTGTTAGTTGTGCGCGTTGTAAGGCCATTTTTTTCTTTTAATTCATTTTTTAAGATTTAGTTTTGTAAACTAAATAGCTCTGATTTCGTAATTTGGCCCTGCCTCAGGGGTAGGGGGCGAGTCCACCATTTGTCAAAGATAGAATCAAGTCCACTCTAACTTAATTTTTTTTTTATCTTATATAATAGTCCTATGATTTTATTTACCTCATCTATTTTAAGCCAAATTAATTATCTTGCTCACAAGATGGTGAAAATCAGGATAAACAATGTGTCTTGATTTTGATTTTGGCATCAACGTTGAAAATTGCTACTTTTAATATCGTATCATTTATTGTGTTTTGAAATGTAACTTTAAAAAGTTTGATTCATACTAAGTCTATATGTATTCACTTGTTTTTGAGTTACAATACGCAAATAATTCTAAAAACAAATATTCAGAAGAGCTGCCCTCGAAAAATTTAAGCATGCTGTGTAATAAGGTCCTGACCCCGTCACTGCTTATGGGTGTTTATAATTTACCCGAAAATTTTATTAAATTATTATTTTTAAACTGCGAATTTGTAATAAGGTCCTGACCCCGTCATTGCTTATGGGTGCTCGGGGAATATTCCCGTGTCCAAGATTCCGATGATAACGCCTCTACCATAGTTGGAGTCCTTCCAAAAGCCCGTGTCTCGATTCAATCCCAAGAAGCCCGGAGAATGGGTTGTGTGCAACGGTTGTTTTATCTCGGGCCGGGCCGATACGAAACCTTCCTTCATCTCCATTTCCTTCACCTCTTCGGGAGATAGATTTGCCGCGAATCCCTTGAACACCATGCGGTACGAGTAGACGATGCGCGATTCTCTCTCGTTCGAGCTTGTTGTGGTTGTTGGGAGAAATGAACCGTACCAACTGCCGAGATCTTCGGATTGAGTCGTGAATTGTTCGGTTGGGCCCTCGACGTGGACGATATATATTTCAGAGGGGCTTTTATCAGGTGCATCATCGGCTGCAAATGCAGTCCCTAGAATGATGCACAACATGCAAATGAGTGTGATGAAAGACATTTTCTTGTTTACTCTATAGTAGTAGTTATGTGACTTAGGATTTTCATTTTGCTTTTAAGGTAAGTGTTGATTTATGTATGTATCCTCAATCAACTACTTATGTAGTGGTTTTTCTAGTAATAATAATTGTCCATGAATAACAAATCATGACTTGTCTTTTTCGAAAACAAAAGTTGAATTTTCACACATTAGCTTTTATTTACTTACTTTTCTTATTTATGAGATGAAGACATGTTTTCCCTTTTCTAGATTTGATTGACCTGGATATATTATTAATTAAGATCATTTTTTTTTTCACTTGATCGGCGTATTTTCAAGCTCCACTTTGCGTAAGAACTCGACAATTATGTACGCAATGATTTGGGATGGGATTCAGAATCAACTTCAATATTTTGTATCGTATGCAACCACATTTTATTTTTTTCGATATATCAAAGGAGCATATATGTCCATGACATTGGATTGTGACTTGATCATACTTATAATTTACTCACACTCGGGCTTCCTTGTAATGTACCAAAGTAATAATTTAATTTCAATAAATATGTTTTTTCCTTCTTTTATTAAAGTCGATGAAATTAAATTCATTATAGGGCCACATACAACAATTGTAATCGATCTTAACTTTTAGTGACGAACTTTCCTCATTTTAGATAAATATATATGAAATACAATTAGTAGAACTTTCAAAGATTAGACAAAATTCTTTAAAATATAATTGTTCGATGACTTGCCTCAGTCTGGAAATTGTTTTTAGTCCAATGAAATGATGGTGCATGCATGCATCATGCATGTAGATGTTAAGCGCAACATTCAGTGGCGAATCCATGTTTTTTTTGCCAAGAATATTCGAAATTGAGTATAGTAAATAAATATATATAATTTATTTAATAAAAATGGCGAACTAAAAATTTACAGGGGTTTGGGGACAGCACCCTTTTTTTTTTGAAATAATGTTAGTTAGTAATTTATAAATTCAACTTAAGTGTTCCTCTAATATTTTTTTTCCATATAAGATTAAATTGTTATAATTCGATTTAACTTTTAATAAATAGTACGTAATTTATTCTGAACTAAAACTCAAGATGTTATATAGCCTATAGAGTGTATCGACAGTTTTCAGGAAGTTTAAAAAGCAGTGTATTGAAACTTGAATCGGATCGGCCTGTTGAACCGGTTAAACCGCGAACGCCTTGTTTGGTTTGACTGTTTTTTATTTATTTATTTATTAAGAAAAGGAGGATTGTTACTAGTTTCTCAATTTCCCTCTTGATGTCTCGAACCCATAACGGGCAATCTTGTCCTGACGGTCTGGTTTGACCAGTTAGGTTGAACCGTAATATCAGAATTCGAGTGAAAATTTGGTGTTTTTTTTAACATAAACAAATAAAATGGTCAAACCGACGTCTTTTTACGGTCCAGTTGAAAAAACGAAAATAAAAAATGAATATATATATATATATATATATATATATATATATATATATATATATATATATATATATATATATATATATATATATATATATATATATATATATATATATATATATATATATATATATATATATATGTATATATATATATATATATGTATATATATATATATATATTCAGCACAATTTGTTTTATAACTAATTAGATGGCATATTATGTAGTAAAGATTCCTCCCGAAGATTCCTAAATCATTGCAATATAACGGCAATCGGAGTCCTAACAGAGTACTTGGCGCCGGAATTCCATTTCAGGTAACCTTGAATGTAACCTGCATTGTTGGTGGTCGAGTCCAGTCTGGTGAACGTCACTTGATACTGCAGTATGGGGTTCGCCTCGGTGAAGTCGAGGGTAGTGGGCTCGACGACAACACTAATCCCAGGTGGCGGGACAATCTCGACCACGTACGACAAAACATGCTCGCCGACATTCGTGACGGTCCTCGTGTACGTCTGAGTAATCTGCTCCGAGCGACCGAAAGTGATGGCGAACGACGGATAGTTGAGTTGCGCCTCTGGTATTCTCGCTTCCACCGAGCAATCCACTATCTTTTGCACAATAATGCTGACCTGTAGGTTCGTGTAGTTCAATCCGCACAGGTAAGGGAAGTAATCTTCTGATTTGAGGTCGTAAATGAGGCCCGGATCGTTGGCCCGAGATGGGTTCACATGGCCCGAACCTGTGGCGAATAGGGATGCTGGAATGAACCTCTCGTCCTCGATCGGATTTTGGGCTAGGTTCACAACGTCGGCCGTGGTCATGATCGCGGATTTTATAGCCGCGGGCGACCAATCAGGGTGCGAGCTTTTGAGTAACGCCGCCACACCACTCAAATGCGGGCACGACATTGAGGTGCCGGAAATGATATTGAATGAGGCGTTTGTGTTGGTGTTGTTCTCGACCGAGACTGGCCAAGCTGCAAGAATGTTAACTCCAGGACCTATAATGTCGGGCTTTAGGATGCCAGGGCTTGCACTGTTGGGCCCCCTCGAAGAAAACGCCGCAACTATGGGGGCCCGATCGTCGCCGATTATGGTGCCCTTGAACAATATTGTGGCCATTGGTGTGGTGGTTGAGTTTATGTAGGTCTTGATCTTTAATCCGTCGGCGTACCCGACGTCTGTAGCCGGAAGAACGTGGGCGTCTGAGAAGGTCATGTTTGCGTCAAGCCGATGATTCACCAGAATAATGGCGGCCCCACCGGCAATCTTGACCGCTACTCCTTTTGAAACATCCGTCACCAAGCCCGATTCGCAAACTACTATCATCCCTCGAAGATTGATTTTGGTCAACGATTCAGGGGTACAATATTGAATACCTGGATCGCTAGTGTTAAGGGAGCCAGCATAAACGAGAGGCAACAACGTCGATGGAAAATCCGATGGCTGAAAAAGCGTTTCACCATCAACACTTATGTTGTTTCCGAGCAAGGCTGTCGCCCTGATCTTTCTGTCAATAGTACTAGCGCCGACTGTAAGGATCCACGGAGCTTCGTTCGACGTTGAGAAGTTGAACGGGCCACTGTTCCCCGCCGAACAACTGACTAATATGCCCTTCTCCATGGCGCTAAATGCGCCTAACGCAATGCTATCAAGGTAGAAACTGCGTGAACCCCCTCCGAGAGAGAGGGAAAGTATATCCACTCCATCTTCGATAGCAGCATCCATCGCGGCAAGTATGCTGCTTTCAAAACAAATGAAGGAGCACACTTTGTAGATGGCTAGGTGGGCCAAAGGGGCGATGCCGGAGGCCGTGCCGTTGGCGTTGCCGAACACGTTAGCGCCCGCCACAAAGCTTCCAGCGGCGGTGCTCGCCGTGTGGGTCCCGTGGCCGCCGTCGTCCAACGGGCTATCATCGAATAAGGTGAAGTACCTAGCGCCGATAATCTTGTTATTGCACACAGTTGGATTGAACTCGCACTTCCCCTTCCACTTGGCGGGAGGGGGCGGCATCCCCTCGTCGCTGAACGAGGGGTGGCTTGGAAAAATCCCCGAGTCCAAGACCCCTATGATCACACCTTTACCATAGTTTGAGTCTTGCCAAAAGCCCATGTTTTGGTTCAAGCCCAAGAAGTTTGGGGAATGTGTTGTGTGCATGTCCAATTTCCTTTCGGGCTCGGCCGAGATGAAGCCCGGGTTGCTCTCCATGGCTTTGACTTCGTCAGCCGATAATCTTGCGGCGAAGCCTTTGAATACGTTACGGTATGAGTAGACGATTCTTCTTCTGCCGTTTGAGATTGATGTTGGCAAGAATGAGGTGTACCAGCTCTCCAGATCTTTGAATCGAGCGAAAAACCCGAGGTTTACATCGACATGGATTATATATGTCTCTAAGGTGCTTGTGTTGGTGCTATCATCTGCAAATGTGTGTAAGAGATGGAGATTGAGTATGCAAATGAGGGTGAGAAAGTGCTTCAACCCCATTTTGAGACAAATTAAACCTCTTTCTTGTATGTGAAAAAAATAAGTTGCAATAATTAAGAATTATGGATTGTGTTGAATGTGATCTTGGTGTTTGAACAGTTTATATAGAACATGTGTCCCTGCTGTGTTATAACTTAGTCATCAATTTGCTGGCCAAGACTTGCTAAACTAATTAGCAATCACTTAGTCTTCAAAATTAGGGATAATTATATATATTTAGTTTCCTCTTAGTTGCTCTAGTGTTCTATAATAGTTTTAATTACAAAATTGTACAAAATCAGAGATAATTACATTTTTCGTCCTAACGCGACAATTATTATTAAACAAACACCAATTACAAATTGGTCCTTAAAATGGTATATCTTAACACTTTACTCTTGTATGTTAAAACTTTTCGGTTAAGTTTAGGGAAACTATATACTCATTCCGTTCCAAAATATATGTCGTTTTGGAGATCTTTTTTCCCAATTATCACTTTAGAATTCTAATAATGTTTTAATTTAATTTTCTTCGATATTTCCCTTTATCATTTTTAATTAATTAAACACAATTAGTTGAGAAGCAATCAATGACAATGGTACTTTAGTGATTTTCTATAAGTTTTTGTAATAACCCGCGCATACATATTTATTAGTATTTTTAATATATACGCGTAACGACCTAAAACAACATAAAAATTGACTTTTTTTTTTAAAATCAGATAATGACATTTTATTAAGGAATTTGTCAATCACACTTTCCGCGTAAGAGAATTAATAGGTGTGGATCTTGCCAAAGATGAATAAACTAATTGGCAACACTATATGAGTTTCAATCATAACATCGTGCGTTAAGTTGAAGTATGAGAATGAAAGAAAGAAAGAAAAAAAAAAATATATATATATAATAAAGAGAGAGAGAGAGAATATTTTTAAGCTCTCATTTGTTTGATTAGATCATCACGATTAATTATTATATTTTTTTTTATATTTGTTTAGTTTGATGGTTTTTCAAATTGGTCTGCCATTGTACGAGAATTAACACCGTGGAATACATTTTTGAAAATTATATTCGGATCAGAAGTCGAAATCTAATATGCATTCCAGCAATGTTCCAAAAAAAATTGAGTACCTGTAATACAAAATGAAAAATATTACTCCGAATCGAAAATATTTGACCCAAAGTGGCATAATCCAAAAATTACGTACCAATTTACACCTCAATTCATAAACATAGATCAGGTAGCGAAGGACTAAACAAGTACGCTTGGTCTTATATTGCGCGATATTTTTTTTTATCAATAAATTGTACGACTTCATAAGTTATTGAGACATATTAAAGCAACTCCAATGGAAGTATCAAATAGATTATCAAACAGATAAACCACCTTTTTGATACTCGAAAACTAGAAAATTCTTCTTCAATGATTAGTATTAAAATGGGGTAAGTATTTTGATATTCCACTTCTTTTTATATAAAAATGCACCCTTAAAATTGGGTTACCAAAAAAAATAACCACCTGAACATTCTATCAGAAAATGACATGTGACCGTTACAAATAAAACCACCCAAATACTTTCAATTGACAATTAATTTAATAACCATGATTAGTATATTAAAATATTGTCTTAAATATTAAATGAGTATTTGATAATTCAATTTCAATGTTTAGTATTGGGGATTGAAACAGTTGACTTTAATATATTGGATAAGGAATGAAGCAGGCCTCCATCGATATATAAGAATTTTCTCAAATCTTTTTATAATTATTATTTGTTCATTTAGTTTAGAACAATTCCTTCCAAACAAAAATTATGTCATCATTTCAGTTGGTAACGTATAAATTATTGGAATAAACCAGATGTAATTTTTTATTTATTTATTTATTATTATTATTAAACTCTTCTCAAGCAACTATGAATTGTGTTTGGCCTTTCAGTACATTTGAAGGAGTCGTAATCGGTTTCAACAAAAGCTTGAACTCGAATAACTTCGTCCTTCTCTTCTACATAATTATTTCAAAAAATTGAAATAATGTAAGTTGGTTATTTGTTTATTTATAAATTCAACAAAAGTCTAAAGTGTGACTTTTTATTTTTTGATATAAAATTAAATTTTTATAATTAGATTTAACTTTTAATAACAGTATGTAATTTATTCTGAACTAAAAAACAATATAGGCAGCTAAGCTTTCAGGAATGAGTGTTGTGGGCCCGTGGCCTTTGGGTTTTCAAATAAAAATACGTAAACCGTATTCGGAAGAAACGGGTCGGGTCACCACGGGTCGTCGACCATATTATCGATAAGCCATTAATTATTAATTAGTGTATATTGTTGTTTTGTCTCCTTCAATTACTTCCAGTTGTTGATTAAAAAAGATTATTAAGATCACTAATATTGCTTTATATGTATATTATTCTAGGCATTTATACTGAACTTAATTCATTCAAAATGTTTGATTCAAGAGTTGCTTTGATTTCAGATTCTTTTTCACCGCAATATAACGGCTATATAGGGCTCTAACAACAAGAAAAGATAACGAGAAATATATACGTATACTTATTCAGCACAATTTGTTTTATAATTAATTAGATGGCATATTATGTAGTAAAGATTCCTCCCGCAGATTCCTAAATCATTGCAATATAACGGCAATCGGAGTCCTAACGGAGTACTTGGCGCCGGAATTCCATTTCAGGTAACCTTGAATATAACCTGCATTGTTGGTGGTCGAGTCCAGTCTGGTGAACGTCACTTGATACTGCAGTATCGGGTTCGCCTCGGTGAATTCGAGGGTAGTGGGCTCGACGAGAACGCCAATCCCAGGTGGCGGGACAATCTCGACAACGTACGACGAAACAGGCTCGCCGACATTCGTGACGGTCCTCGTGTAAGTCTGAGTAATCGGCTGCGAGCGTCCGAAAGTGATGGCGAACGATGGATAGTTGAGTTGCGCCTCTGGTATTCTCGCTTCCACCGAGCAATCCACTATCTTTTGCAGAATAATGCCGACCTGTCGGTTCGTGTAGTTCAATCCGCACAGGTAAGGGAAGTAATCTTCTGGATGGATGTCGTAAATAAGGCCCGGATCATTGGCTCTAGATGGGTTCACATGTCCCGATCCGGTGGCGAATATGTTCGCCGGAACGTACCGCTCGTCCTCGATTGGATTTAGGGCTAGGTTCACGACATCGGCAGTGGTCATGATAGCCGACTTTATGGCCGCCGGCGACCAATCGGGGTGCCCGCTCTTGATTAGGGCCGCCACGCCGCTCAGGTGGGGGCACGACATGGATGTGCCGGAGATAATGTTGAATGTGGAATTCGTGTTGGCATTGTTCTCGACCGAGACCGGCCATGCCGCAAGAATGTTTACTCCGGGCCCTAAAATGTCGGGCTTTAGGATACCAGGGCTAATGTAATTCGGCCCTCGGGACGAAAAGCTTGCTACCACAGGGGCCCGGTCGTCGCCGATTATAGTGCCTTTGAATAGTATTGTGGCCATTGGTGTGGTGGTTGAGTTTATGTAAGTCTTAATCTTCAAACCGTCGGCATAGCTGACGTGTGTTGCTGGAAGAACGTGGGCTTGCGCTGCAGTCGTATTTGCCGAATACAGAGAATTCACTAGAATCATGGCGGCTCCACCGGCATTTTTCACTGCTATTCCTTTCGAAAGTCTTCCCACCACGCCAATTTCGCAAACAACTATCATTCCTCGGAGGTCGGTTTTGTTCAACGATGTCGCAGTACAATACTGTATATTTGGATCGCTCGTGTTGAGCGATCCGGCGTAGACGAGAGGCAACAACGTCGATGGAAAATCCAACGGCTGAAAAGTCGATTCACCGTCGAAAGTTTCGTTGTTTCCAAGCAAGGCCGTCGCCCTTATCTTTCTGTCGATAGTACTAGCACCAACTGTTAGGATCCACGGGGCTTCGTTCTCCAATGATATGTTGAACGGACCACTGTTCCCCGCCGAGCAACTGACTAATATGCCATTCTCCATGGCGCTAAACGCGCCTAACGCAATGCCGTCGTCGTAAAAGTTAATATTTAATCCTCCTAGAGAGATGGAAAGTATATCAACTCCATCTTCGATAGCAGTATCCATTGCAGCAAGTATGTCGCTTTCGTGACAAGAGTCGGAGCACACTTTGTAGATGGCTAGGTGGGCCATAGGGGCGATGCCGGTGGCCGTGCCGTTGGCGTTGCCGAACAAATTGGCACCTGCCACAAAGCTTCCGGCTGCAGTGCTCGCCGTGTGGGTCCCGTGGCCGTTGTTGTCCAACGGGCTATCGTCTAAAGAGTTGAAGTACCTAGCGCCGATGATCTTGTTATTGCACGTTGTTTGATTGAACTGGCACTTCCCCTTCCACTTGGCGGGAGGGGGCGGCATCCCCTCGTCGCTAAATGAAGGGTGGCTTGGAAAAATTCCGTAATCCAAGACACCTATGATCACACCTTTACCATAGTTTGAGCCTTCCCAAAAGCCCATGTTTTGGTTCAAGCCCAAGAAGTTTGGGGAATGGGTTGTGTGCACGTCGAATTTTTTCTCGGGCCGGGCCGAGATGAAGCCCGGGTTGCTCTCCATGGCTTTGACTTCGTCAGCCGATAATCGAGCAGCGAAGCCTCTGAACACCTTGCGGAAGGAGTAGACGATTCTTCCTCGGCCGTTTGAGTTTGATGTTCGCAAGAACGAAGTGTACCAACTCTCCAACTCTTCGAATCGAGCAAAAAGCCCGAGGTTTACATCGACATGGACTATATATGTCTCCAAGGTGCTTGAATTAGTTGTATCATCTGCAAATGTGTGTAAGAAATGGAGATTGAGTAAGCAAATGAGGGTGAGAAAGTGCTTCAACCCCATTTTGTGACAAACACCAAATTAAACCTCTTTCTTGATTGTGTTGAATATTGATGCTAGATCTTGTTGTTTGAAAATTATATATAGAGCATATATAATTATATATTTTTTTTGTCTATTGTTATAACTCGGTCATCAACTTGATGGTCAAGATTTGCTAAACTAATTAGCAATCACCATTAGGGATAATTCATAATTATATATATATTAGTTGCTCTAATATAAGCATAATCACATTTTTTATCCTTATCTCTTCATATGTTGTGATGTAATAAGGAGAAAATATGGATGTGGTCTCAATCTCATTTCTCAGTTGCAGAATTAAAAAATGGTAGAAAGGCAGCAACAGCGTTCAAAGAAAATCATTTATTTTATTATTATTTTTTTATAATAATTATTAGTTGATGACTTTTAATTAAGGAATTGGTCAATCACATTTTCCAAGTTAGAGAATTAATTAATAGATCTTGCCAAAGATGAATTAAATAATTGCCGATACAAGTGTATTCGACCATATGTGAGTTTCAATCATATCATCGTCGCGTTAATTTTAGGATTAATTTCACTCTGCACCCTCGAAATATATAATATTAGCATTTGCACCCTAGAAAATAACTTATGGCACTTTGCACCCTCAAAACATGTTTACTTATTCAAAGCGCACACTAATTTATTTTCTGGACATAATTTTTTATCGTTTACTTATTTTCCGATCGTCAACATGGTAATTTTTGTCTATTCAACTGATTTTTTCTTCAGGGTGCAAATTGCTAATGTATTTTCTAGCAAAATTGACTTTGTTGAATATCAGAAATTAGGTCAACGACGGAAATTATGGCCGAAAAATAAACTAGGGTGCAATCTGAACGATTAAATATATTTCAAGGGTGCAAAGTACCAGAAATTATTTTGAGAGTGCAAAGTGGCAAAATGATATATTCCGAGGGTGGAAAGTGAAATTATGCCTTAATTATAAGTAGCTGGAGAAAAAAATAATAATAAATAAATAAAATATATTAGATCGTCATGATTAATATTTTATTTTACAATCATAGACTTTTATTTTATATTTGTTTAGTTCAATAATTGTTTCAAATTTACACCTCAATCCACAAACATACACATGGTGTGGTGATAAGTGATAACTGACAAGGGACTAAGCAAGTACATTTGGTCCTTTCTTTTTTTTGTTAAATAAATTGTAATCACTTTAAAATGGGTTTTACTAACCTTTGGGATTTGAAATTTGAATTGTGAAACAGTCATAAGTTATTGACTTTTTTTTTTTTTTTTGAGTAAATAAGTTGTTGACTTTAGAATATTAATTATTTTAAGATTTTTGGATAAGGAATGAAGCAGGCCTTCATCCATGTATAAGAATTCTCAAGTCTTTTTATTTTATTTTATTATTATTTGTTCATTTAGTGTACAACAATTCCTACCAAACAAAAATTATGTGGTAACGTATAAGTATAAATCTTTGGAATAAACCAGATACATTTATTTGTTAATTATTATTATTATTATTTTGAGTAACTTTGTACTTCTACATAATTATTTCAAAAATTAGAGATGCTCTAATTTCATATTCTTTTTTTCAGTTAAGTATAACTGCTATAGGGCTCCTAACAGAGTGCTTGAGAGAAGTCCATTTAAGGAAACCTTGAACAATCGTGTTGTTCTCGGCGGACGACAATCGTTCGAACGTCACCTCATACTGCATTTTCCGGTTCACCTCCGAAAAGTCGAGTGTAGTGGGCGCCACACGGACATCGATGCCAGGTGGCGGGACAATTTCCACGTTGTAAGACGACTTAGGTTCGCCCACATTCGTAACCGTCCTTGTATACACTTGAATATTCGATTTAGTACTTGTGAAAGTGAGTGCGAAAGAAGGGTAGTTCAGTTGTGCTTCGGGTATGCTCGACTCGACCGAGCAATTCACCCTGCGTTGTAAGAAGAAGCCTACTTCTCGATCCGTGTAGTTCAAACCGCATAGATATGGTATGTAATCTTCGGGTTGGATATCGTATACGAGTCCTGGATCGTTCGCTCTCGACGGGTTCACGTGACCCGACCCGGTTGCAAAGATACCCGCCTGAACGAACCGCTCGTCCTCGATTGGATTATGTGCGAGATTCACGACGTCCGCGGTGGTCATGATTGCCGACTTAATTGCGGCAGGGGACCAATCAGGGTGCGAGCTCTTGAGCAGTGCCGCCACGCCGCTGAGGTGCGGGCACGACATCGAGGTGCCGGAAACCATGTTGAACGTTGCTTTTGTGTCGGTTCGGTTTTCGACTGATGTGGGCCACGCCGCGAGGATATTGACACCCGGGCCTAAAATATCGGGCTTCAGTATCCCGCGGCTCGCGAAGTTGGGCCCACGGGAAGAAAATGCGGCGACAACTGGCGCGTTGCTGTCGCCGATAGCGGTGCCCTCGAAGAGGATTGAGGCCTTCGGCGATGACGTGGAGTTTATGTAAGCTTTGATCTTTAGTCCGTCCGCGTAGCCGACGTCTGCCGCCGGAAGGGCGTGGGCGTCCGCCGAAGTAGTGTTTGCGTACCGCTCGTTGTTCACGAGAATCATGGCGGCAGTACCACCGGCGCTTTTAACTGCTTCGCCCTTTTCGATCCTCGTTAATCCACCGCCTAATTCGCACACCACTATTTTCCCACGTACGTCGCTTGCGTTCAACGAATCGCCGCAAAATGGTGCAAAAGGATCACTAGTGTTGAGCATCCCCGCGTAAACAAGTGGCAATAGTGTTGGTGGAAAATTGTCCGGTTGAAAAGCCGACTCCCCGTGAAATAGTTGCTTGTTTCCGAGAACCGTCGTCGCTCTTAGTTTCCTATCGATCGTACTTGCACCAACGGTGAGGATCCAAGGCGCCTCGTTCGATATTGAGAAGTTAAACGGTCCGTTATTTCCTGCGGAGCAACTGACGAAAATGCCCTTCTCCATCGCGCTAAAAGCGCCTAGCGCGATGAAATTTTTGAAGAAATTATTGGTCAATCCGCCGAGGGAAATCGAGAGCACATCCACTCCGTCCTCGATTGCAGCGTCCATTCCGGCAAGTATATTACTTTCCGAGCAAAACGGGACACACACTCTGTAAACCGCCAGGTGGGCGAGCGGTGCGACTCCGGCGGCCGTTCCATTGGCATTCCCGAAGATATTTGCGCCATTCACAAAGTTTCCAGCGGCGGTGCTGGCGGTGTGGGTCCCGTGGCCATCGTCGTCGAGCGGGGTGATTTGACCGCCGCCGCCACCGCCACCACCGGCGGTGGAGCCAAAGGACCTAGCTCCGATGATCTTATTATTGCACGCCGTGTGGTTGAACTCGCACCGCCCCTTCCATTTAGCCGGTGGAGGGGGCATCCCTTCGTCGCTGAACGAAGGGTGCTCGGGGAATATTCCGGTGTCCAAGATTCCGATGATCACGCCTCTACCATAGTTGGAGTCCTTCCAATAGCCCGTTTCTCGATTCAATCCCAAGAAGCCCGGAGAATGGGTTGTGTGCAACGGTAGTTTTATCTCGGGCCGGGCCGATATAAAACCTACCTTCTTCTCCATCTCCTTCACCTCTTCAGGAGATAGATTTGCCGCGAATCCCTTGAACACCGTTCGGTACGAGTAGACGATGCGCGATTCTCTCTCGTTCGAGCTTGTTGTGGTTGTTGGGAGAAATGAACCGTACCAACTCTCGAGATCTTCGGATTGAGTCGTGAATTGTTCGGTGGGGCCCTCGACGTGGACGATATATATTTCCGAGGAGCTTTTATGAGGTGCATCATCAGCTGCAAATGCAGTCCCTAACATTATGCACAACATGCAAATGAGTGTGATGAAAGATATGAAAGACATTTTCTTCTTTACTCTATAGTAGTTATGTGACTTAGGATTTTGATTTTGCTTTTAAGGTAAGTGTTGATTTATGTGTATATCCTGAATCAACTACTTATATAGTGGTTTTTCTAGTAATAATAATTGGCCATGAATAACAAATCATGAATAACAAATCATGACTTGTCTTTTTCGAAAACAAAAGTTGAATTTTCAGACATTAAATTTTATTGGCTTACTTTTCTTATTCATGAGATGAAGACATATTTCCCCTTTTCTCGGTAATCAATCAATCATATTATTAATGAAGATCATTTCTTTTTCATTTGATCGGCGTATTTTGAAGCTCGACTTTGCGTAAGAACTCGATAATTATGTACGCATTGATTTGGGATGGGATTTAGAATCAACTCCAATAATTCGTATCCTATGCAACCGCATTTTTTATTTTTCCGATATATCAAAGGAGGCATCAATAGAAGCATATATAATTGTCCATGACAATCGATTGTGACTTGCTCATGCTCATACTTTACTCACACTCGGGCTTCCTTGTAATGTACCAAAATAATAATTTAATTTAATTTCAATAAATATGTATTTTCCTTTTATTAAGATCAATGAAATTAAATTCATTGCAAGACCACATACATCAATTGTGACCTATCTTAAATTTTAGTGACGAACTTTCCCCATTCTAGATATATGGAATACAATGAGTAGAACTTTCAAAGAATAGACAAAATTCTTTAAAATATAATTGTTCGATGACTTGCCTCGGTCTAGAAATTGTTTTTAGTCCAATGAAATCATGGTGCATGCATGGATCATGCATGTAGATGTTGAACGCCACATGCAGTGGCGAATCCAAGTTTTTTGGTAAGGACGTTCAAAATTGTGTATACTTAAATAAATATATATAATTCATTTAATAAAAACGGCGGCCTAAAAATTTAGGGGGTTTGGGGACAACGCCCCCAATTTTTAAAGTATACACATAAAACACTTGATGGGATGTGAAACACTTGATGGGATGTGAAACCCCTTGGGGTTGAAAGGGTAAGTGGATGTACCACCCTTGAGATGAGATGCCCAACTTTAGGGTGGGATAGCCCCCCATTTAGGATGAGGCGATCACGAACCACTTGGGTGAGATGTCCAAACTTGGCGATATATGGTGCCACTGATTCAGTGGCAGCACGAGTTGAATCTTCCGTGATCATACGCTGAAGGTCTTCTTCGGTTATCTGAACCGTTCGAGAAGTAAATAGACCCCCAGAGAGTCGATGACCCATGGCGAATGAAATGTTTTGGGGGCACTGTGAACCCCCAGGGAGTCGATAACCCTTGGCGAACAAAATATTTTGGGGGCGATGTAAACCCCCAGGGAGTCGATAACCCTTGGCGAGCGAATATTTTGGGGGCGATGTAAACCCCCAGGGAGTCGATAACCCTTGGCGAACAAAATATTTTGGGGGCGATGTAAACCCCCAGGGAGTCGATAACCCTTGGCGAGCAAAATATTTTGGGGGCGATGTAAACCCCCAGGGAGTCGATAACCCTTGGCGAACGAAATATTTTGGGGGCGATGTAAGCCCCAGGGAGTCGATAACCCTTGGCGAGCGAATATTTTGGGGGCAGCTGTAAGCCCCCAGGGAGTCGATGGCGGTGGTGCCATAGGTGGCTCCACATGTGGAGCAGGTGCTGGTATCGCGTCGGGAGCATTTGCTCCCATCGTGGCGATATATTGGGTCACGGCCTCTGTGGCAGCGCGAGTTGAAGCTTCTGCTATCATGCGTCGAAGCGCATCCTCGGTTATTTGAACCATTCGAGGAGCAGGGAATGGTGGATCGGCGAGTGGTGGGTCCCGAGGGGGGATCACCTGAACCTCGCGAGGCGGATCCATGGGACGTGGAGGAGGTGGCAAGCCAGAGCCTCCACGAGGTGGGAGGTCGTTAGCTGTGTCATTTTCTCTCCGAGCAGACACCTCATGAGGATCTTGTTGGCTACGTGATCTGGTTTGCATCGTTCCCACAGACGGCGCCAAAATGATGATGCTAAAATATAGCTCACCTAGGGTGGTGTAGAAAATGAACTGGGAGAGCAAAGCAGATCAGTAGCTTGACAACTTGATGATCCTAGAACACATGAACTAAGCCGGGGGTTGATCCGGCGGAAACCCCTCCGACGCTCAAGTCAGACGTGCTGATCATAGAAATAGTCCAGAGAATACGCGTTTTTGTATTGCTCAGTTAATAGGACGTACCTTAATAAAATGAGTAAAACCTCTATTTATATGTCGTTTATTGGGTTGGGTTTGCTTTGTTGGGCCCAAGCCTTACTTGAAGGTGTTTGGGCCTCGGTGATATTGGTCTTCGATATTGGGCTCGTAGCCCAGTAGGTAAAGAAATTGTAGGCCCATTGGGTTGGCCCAATTAGGCATATCAATATATATAATTCATTTAATAAAAACGGCGGCCTAAAAATTTAGGGGGTTTGGGGACAACGCCCCCAATTTTTAAAGTATACACATAAAACAATTAAAAAATGCAAAAGCTTCAAATATAAAGAAATCATTTGCAAATTTAAGGACAATTTAGGAAATATTTAGATATAAAATTGGTAAAATTGTTAAGAAAATTGTAGATAATTTAAAGTTGCAAGTATCAAAATGTGTATCTATAGTCAAACTCATACCTCTCGATAAATGAACACACACTTTACCATTTGAGGTACAGATACTCATACAACTAATAACAATAACAATTGCAGATTTATATAACATATAAATACATAAGAAATATATATTTTTTAAGAGATTAAATTATGTGCGATATTTAATATAAATCGGATTCCACTATTTTTTTGACATGTGGCACTCTTAAGTTTTAACTCTTAATAAATCACGCTAATTATAATTAGGGTTAGATGGGGCTTATGGGTCCTGCTGGGTTTTTTTTTTTCTTTTTTTTTTAATTATTAGAATCCTAATTATATTTTTATTTAAACTATCCACGTGTCAATCATCTATGGCATCCGATTTTCATATTAAAACATGTCATCCGGTCTAAATTTGCACCCACTTTTTAAATCAAGTGTGTGGAGTTGCACATCCTAGACACACAGTGAATCCGCCTCTGACCACATGGAATTTTTTCAGTTATTATAGCAAACATCATGGGTTGGTTGTAATTTACCTTAAAATAAATGAAACACTAGATATGGTCATATGGTGACATATATATCCCTCAAATTGTCGTGAATTGCACAATGCACCCTTGAATTATTTTATTTTTTTAGGTGCATTGTGGCAATTAACTGCGCATTCGGTTGTGCACTGTGCCAATTAACTCGCTACAGAAAAGTAAAAGAAAAACGACGTAATTATTTGTTATTTAGTTCCTTGTTTTTTTCTTCAGGAATATGCAATGTAGTTTCAGACTGCTGTCTGTATATGTATTGTTGATGTTGATTTACTTATCAAATTTGTTTGAGGGTTCTTGCGGAAAATTGAAGTATTATCAAATGAAAATTACTTAACGTAACAAAGCACAGTCATATAATGATCAGTCATATAATGATGTAATAAAAGAGTTAATAACTATAGTTGAATTAATCTATATAATATATAAATTGAAACCCTCATGGTCTAGAATTACGACATGTGTCATCCATGTCACCATCCACGTAGGCATCCTAATCATGATCCATGTGTCACTACATATTACATATTTAATGTCTATTTAATTATAACTTTCCATAATGTAATATTAGAATATATCATAATGCCATAAATGACATTTTTTATGAGAATTAAATATTTCCGTAATATTATATATATTATTATGGTAATCATTAATTATGTTATTTAATAATTATTAAAACAAATTAATCATATTTTATGTTAAAAATAAGATTTGGTATCATATATATATATATATATATATATATATATATATATATATATATATATGATATTAAGTGGTCTACAATTACGGGATCCGATATATATATATATATATATATATATATATGTGTGTGTGTGTGTGTGTGTGTGTGTGATATTACGTACCAAATCTTATTTTAACATAAAATATAATTAATTTGTTTTAGTAATTATTAAATAACATAATTAATGATTACCATAATAATATATATAATATTACGGAAATATTTAATTCTCATAAAAAATGTCATTTATGGCATTATGATATATTCTAATATTACATTATGGAAAGTTATAATTAAATAGACATTAAATATGTAATATGTAGTGACACATGGATCATGATTAGGATGCCTACGTGGATGGTGACATGGATGACACATGTCGTAATTCTAGACCATGAGGGTTTCAATTTATATATTATATAGATTGTTTGTACCCTAAAAATATTTTTTTATTTGTGTATGGTTTTCAGTTTAATATTTACCATTTGCCTTTCTGTTTATAATTAATTGTTATTTTTATTTTTTATTAGATGTTCAAATCAGGTCGTTTGCGGAAAGATTTATCTGCCGAAATTTATGAAGGAATGCAAGAAGTGATACTACAAGGAGACATGAAAAAATCTGATATCGAAAAACGATAAAATTGCCTTCTTCGTTTTTGGGGAATAATGTGTATGTTTTACATTTTTTTACATTGTTTTTGTATTCCAATTTATGGGAAAATAAAATAACACCGATATTAATTATGTTTTTTTCCGACAAAATAAGTCATTATGATTCATTTGTTTCTATGCACATGATAATTACTTGATCATAATTAAATTTACATTATTTTTTTTGTTCCGTCTTTTACATATGTGTATACATGATATCTCTAACAATTGTTTTTTGTTTGTTAATGATTTATAGATATGGACACTGCTAAGTCATGTATTATAAGCGACTAATATCGGATATGGAAAAGGTCTATGGATTTGTAGAAAATGTGACTACATCTTGAAACTTCAGAAATCAAAGGTTATATTCATATTTTCTATAACTAATATGTAATTAATAATATATTGTTCATTGATCAATTTTCGTGTACCATATATCCAAGCAATTTGCAGATGTTGTTGGATACATTGGCCAAAAATAT